CAGGAATGAAAGGGACAAAATATTCCAGTCAATTCTTCAGCATCTCTGATCTAAAATAATTTCAATATGATGTTAGATGTTATTAAAATACCAAAATTTGTATAAACACAATGTGCAAAATACTTTGCAGCTCTGAAACACACCATCTTTACGCTCTTCTACTCTTTCACAGCATACCACAATCCAAGTGATGGATATGGCACACCCACAATCACACCATGGCAGAGAAGAGATTTTTGTACTAAGGAGCCCATGAAGTCTGTTCTAAGTTTTAAATCTTAACATGCATTCACAGGTTTGATGAGCAAGACTATATTGTTCTGTCACCTGTTCAGGCTGCAAAGCTGCTAGAGTCCTGCCACCAGCTCGAGCCATTTCACCCTGCTGCTCCACTGTAGGGCCTGCAAAAAGCAAACCAACCCCAAAATTGAAAGAAACGAAGAAACAAACGAAAAACCCAAAAACAAAATAAACACACACATCACACCAAAAATAAGGCACAGCCTGCAGACAAAGTTACAGCATCTATGGAAGTCAGCACTAGCTCTTGCATCTTCCAGCTCTCAAATCAGAGCAGAAAAGTTGGTATAGAATTTAAAAGATGTACTCAAGAAGAGAACTGTATGCCAAAACAGGAAGAAGTGTATCAGATACAAAAATCTCTCTATGGTGTCCAAGTTTATCCTTTTCAAAGGGAGATGATACAGATTCTGTAAGGTTACCACATCAGAACCAAAAAACACAAGTGTAACCCAGGTGTTACAATGAAATGACAAAGGGCAAGAGAATGCCAGGATTAACAAATCTCAGGGAATGGGAGGCTATTGAAAACAAGGAGTCATCCTTTGAAAATCCTAAACAGTCAACTAAGGATCTCAGAAATGATTACAAAATGGCATAGTATATACAAAGAAAATTCAACCTAAGTAATAGTTGCCCCCCCTCCCCAAAAAAATAAAATAAAATAAAATAAAAAAGATTCCTTTTCCTCTGTCTTTCCTTGTGCTCATTTTGGAAAGGTTCCTACGCAAAAGACATTTTGCAGCAGGACCTCAAAGGATGCCTTAAACTAAAATGATATAGAACAGGTTTTGAAACAGAAGTAAAACTCACTGGCACAGTACATTTGCCCTAAGAGTTCTGGATTAGCTCATGGATAAAATCATTAAACTGTCTCGTTAGCCCTCCCCTTGAGCTGCCAGTAAAACAGATACCTTCAAGACAACAATTATGACTCTACTTCTATTTAATAAAACTGCCAAAGCAGGACTCTGAAATTCGTAAAAAGAAACATCCCGGGAACTGTAAGAAAAGAACTAGTGGACACATGATGAAGCACAGTATCTATTGGTGTTCTTTGTGACATGCTTGCATAGTAAAAGATGTGGTTGATTACAGGAAAAATTACAGGAATTTTCAAAGCCTGTTTTAGAAGGCAGAGGAAAAAAAGAGAATTAGAGTAAGCACTGTCCACAGCAGAGGAAGGCTTGCTAGTAAAATTCCTCAGGGACTTGTGCCATCCACCATAAGTGTTTGGGAAAAGGTAACAAGATGTAAGCCCTTACTGCTGATAGAAACTTCTTATTAGTGGGACTAACTGGAAAGAATCAAGTTCCTCTGCAGCCAAATCACTAAGCTACCATAAACGAAGTGATGCAGATAAGGGGGAAAAGGACAATCACGTCTTGCTATTATAATAAACAGTCCTATAAAAACATCACCTCATCAGTATTAAAAAGCAGTACAATTCTCATAATTATTAAAAAAGACCTAGAGAACAGAAGACATCATAACTAAAACTCAAAATTACTCCTCCCATCTCATAAATCCAAGGTTTACATGCATCTTGAATGCTGGGTCAAATTATGATTTCGCCCCATCACAGAGATGCCACATAAATAAATAAAAATTGTTTCAGACAGAAGAAATAAAGATGGGCAAATTTTTGGAACAGTTTCTGTAAAAGTGGCTAAGAATCATAATCCCAAGGCTAAAAAAAATAGCTAAAAATTTACTTGAAGGCAAGCCTGAGGCAACACTTTATCAACTAATAGGAACAACTAAGGATGGAAAGCTTCTGTTCCAACTGTAGAAAATACCTTTCAATAGACATTTGTCAGGCAGGACATGCTTTCCCAACTGCTTTGTAGGTCTAGTCAAGTTATTACAAGGTTTCAGGAAGTTTCTGCAACTCAGACATGTTACCTCTGTACTCACCTGCAGGTTTTACTTCTGAAAAAAACGTGCCAACTTTTTTTCCATCTACAATATCTGTGATGACATGACCAGAGATCTTCGGGTGGGTTCCGTTTGCAATAACTACAGAGGTGCCTCCTTGGAGGGCCCACAGAGCTGCTTTCACCTATAGTGAAGGATAAAGACAAGTCCAGGAAATTTACTTGATATTTGAATCCCCACACTTCACAAGAATTCTTGCTCCTCCTTGTTCTTTATATTAGTCTTTTATGTTTTCAAAGAGCATTATAGAACTTTCTGTAATACAACACTGAAAAGATCCTATACTTGAACCTTATTTTTCCTTCTTTTATTAGCTTCCAGTTTATGAATATACTTCAGATTTCTCTAATTGCCTGCTTTTTTTTCCAAGACTTTTGCAAATACACTTCCCATGTTCTTTTTCACAATTATTTTAAAGTGGAAATTCTTCCTAAGACAGAGACCTCATTTTCCTTCTCAAAAACCTCAATTTTCCTGGCAACAATTGGAAGCAATAAATAATTTATGCATTTTGAGTGACTATGTGATTTTACTCCTACCACAGAGCACCGTTCATGTTCAGGTCCCAAACACGACCAAATATAATTAACATTATTTAATGCCTTTAGCTATCTGAATTACTCCCTTGAAGTTTGACTAGCTTAGGCATTTGTCATGGATTCATGAGAATCCATGGTTCAAGAGGTAGAGGAATTCTCATTGTTTAACTCTTTGGTGAAGTTATTAAGTACTGTGAAGAGTCACTCAGATTTTCATCTGTAAGGGACAGAGGCGATGACATGGTCACTTGAGTGCCTAACAGGAGCGGGCACACAAACACCAGGCACACAGTGGTCGAATTAGGGTTTTTATTACCTCTGCTTCTGCACGAGGTCTCCCCAGTTTCCCGGCAGGAGGAAGAGATTCCAGGCACCACTGAGCACCTGTCCATAGCAAGGAGTGGGAGGGGAAGGGGAACCTAGGCTCTTATATAACTACTGAGCATGTGATTGTCCCGTGTTACAATTCGGTTGGTGCTAATAGCAGGTAAACAGCATGTAAGCATCAGGTGATACAATGTACGATAATGAGCAGAGCCCGTGTATGCGGCACACATAACATGGCCATAAGCCAAGCACGGAGTACAGCACAGCTGGGTCAGCATGCCCCAGAACAGCCTCACCAGTCCCCATCTCCCATCTCCTCGACTTTTTTCTGCATCCTATTCTCTACACCATCCAAGGCTTTAACCTGCTTTTTTCACACGCTGTTACTGTTCTCATTCGATTTTTTTTCCCTTTGCTTCTATTTTTGCCTGGGAATATCACAGCTGTCTTCACAGTCTGTTTGAGTAGGCTATGTTTGAAGATTTTTCAATTTTGATTTAACATCTTTTTATATGGTGTGCTTCCCCACTTGGTGTTTCATAGGGGAGTTCTGTAGCATAGCACTTAAGAATCATCTTCAAGGGTAAGAATCTCGCTGTACGAAGCAATTTATACATAAAAAGCATAAAATAAGATCTATGGCAAGAACCAAGTCTAAAAACATCTGATGTACAGACAAATGGGAGTTGATATCAATAAGGTTTTACCAAAACAACTGCATGCTAAAGTCTGTCAATTCCTCCCCTGCTTTTTGGCAGTAGACTTGAGGACAGTTATCCTTCTAGGCATTCCGCTAGCAAGATAGGCATAAGTTCCCTTTCTGAACATCAGTGTTAGCATGCTAAAGTTTGTTTAGTACTTCTAAAGAATTTGAAGTTTACAGTAGGATCATCTTATTAGTTAAATCTCTTGAAAATCCCATGTGCTTATTAGTCCTTTGATTATCCTCTTCCCATAAGATCCCCCTTTGCAACATCTCACTGATTTACACATATATACAAAAACAAACACCAAAATGTGACCATTTGCTGGTAAACTGCCTGTGCTCTTTTTTTTTTTCCCCCCGCCTCAATGAAGCTATTAGGAGTACTATCCCACTATTATGTTTGTCTCATTTATTTCATTACAAAAACTACTAGTCATAATGCCATTCCTATATGGTTCTACAACTATGTATCACAGTCTATATTCAGTGGGAAACTACACCTGTGAGATATACCTATCAGACTATAGCACACCAGGCTCTTGACCACTACAGGACTTTCAACTGCTCAATTTTTGCTTAAGTTTCACTCTGATAATCAAGATTTGTGCTTTGGGCTACTATTTTTTCCTCATATTGAGGCATTCTTCTCATACTCGGGAGCCCAGAAATGGATACAGCATTCCAAATGCTTCTCACTAGGGCTGAGAAGGGAATCATCACCTCCCTTGAGCTGCTGCCTATGCTCTTCCTAATGCACCCCAGGATATGATTGACCTACTTCAGTGCAAGGGCATACCGCTGGCTCGTTCTGTGCATCCCTCAGGACACCCCATGTCCTTTTATGGCAAGCTGCTTTCCAGCTAGTCAGCCTCCAGCCTGTACTGGTGCAGGGGTGCAAGACTTTGCACTTCCCTTTGCAGAGCTTCACAAGGTTCCTCGCTGCCTCTTTCCAGTCTGTCACAGTTCTCCTGACAGGCAGCACAATAATCTGGTCTTTCAACCACCTTGTTTATTTATTTTTAATCTTCTGCTTTCCCCTTCCTTTTCTCCCCCTTTCCTTCCCAGGATAGGTCAAAGGCTCTGTGCTCCTACCTTGGCTTCCATGCCTCCCATTCCTACTCTGGATTTCGTACCAAATGTCACAGACTGCTGGTCTCCCGGGTAGAATATGTCAATGAGTTTTGCATCATCAGATCCTGGAGGGCTGTCAAAGAGTCCTAAAATAAATAATAAAAATCTGCTAACATTATGTATCCTGAGTTCTAAAGTTCAAGGAGAATCTCTATGGAAACTGCAAAGCTGTATTCCACTGCACAGGATGGAATGCAGGGTTCAGTGAAAGTGAAGCGCTAGCTGGCAGGCTGAAGAATTATCAGTTCTAAAGTTATATCTCAAAAGGAAACAGAACACCCACACACTGAATAAAAGCATGCAAGGTTTTATTTGTAATTTTTATATGTACATATATTAGAGTGAGGTTAGAGAGAACGTTGGAAACAAGTTAACAGCTTTGCTGTGTCATAAACCAGGATTTACATACACAAGCACACAGGCAAATAGGAAAAATAATAATTTTCCCCACCAAAATCTCAGATGATATGCCCGAATGCTGGCTTTTAGAATGATAAACTGAACAGTTTAGAAACATCTAAAAAGTTGTATTATTAGAATCTGCTAAGAAAAGACCCTTAGTTTTTGTTTGTTTTGTTGTGAATCTAATAATTTTACGTAACAATGCTCTGCATTGAATTACCCTTTCATTTACCCAGCACACTAGCCCTAAAATACCACCACACTTCCCAGAAAGTGCTAGCTTGTGGAGGGCAGGACACATCTTTCTGTAAGCAACACATCACTCTAGATGAGTAAATGTATTGTTTGAACTAATTGTTTTGACTATTGCTTTTACTAAATTGTTCTCAGTGTCATTTTAACTACACACAACCATGAAGGTTCTCTAGAAGGACAGGTTTAGAAGGAACTGTTTATGGAAAAGTAACTCCTTCCTCAAGAACTATGATGTGGACTGGATCCGTCAGGATCAACTGAGCATTACATGCAAATCTAACTTTAAAGAAGCATATATGGAAGAGGTGAAAAGATTACATGAGTTGGATGATGCAGAAATAAGAGTGAACTGCAACTCCTTTCCAGCATCAATAGATGGCAGACTTGCTTCACAAACAGCAAAGGTCCCACGATCGAAACAGTATCAGTCAAAATAGTATCAGAGAGAGAAGAGTTAGTGAGCTCGAGACTTCTGGAAAGTAATGTCCATGGCATCTAATATGCTTGTAACAGCATCCAAGTATCTAAGATGCTTGTCACAGAATGACAGAACCTGTCTACTGCCAGGTTTCTGTAAACTATTAAAAATAGTTTAGAAAACTATTTAGTGTTCAGATTATGCTCCTGATTATAAACACAGAGCAATGGCTCTGTGTTAATCATACTACTCATGACTATATCATAAAATCCTGAGTAATTAGCAGAGGAACCACAGCTCAGAACAAGTCTCGAGTTCACTCGCATTCTCACCAGCCCAGACTCAATGATATGGCAGATAGCTCCTTGAGGCATATGCCCGATGTTGTTGCATGAGCCAAAGCCTATGTATGTGGTACTCTATAACTGCCACTGTAAAATATATGAACTGAAGATATCAGCAAAACTCAGTACAGGTTGGTTCTACTGTCTATGAGACTTCAAGGTCCAAATTTCTCCACCAAGAATTCCCATTCCGCTGGTAGCAAATGCAATGCAAGGCATCTCTGACTACAGAGTAGCATTCAGACACCATTCCAAAGAGTTCTTCTACATATGAGCAGCTGAGGGAGCTGGGATTATTTAGTCTGGAGAAGAGAAGGCTCGGGGAGACCTTACTGCTCTCTACAACTATTTGAAAGGAGGTTGTAGGGAAGCAGGGGTCAGTATCTTCTCCAGAAGATCTACAGACAGAACTAGAGGAAATGGCCTGAAAATTGCACCAGAGGAGGTTCAGGTTAGGAACAATTTCTACATGGAAAGAGTAGTCAAGCATTGGAACAGGCTGCCCATGGAAGTGGCAGAGTCGCCATCCCTGGCAGCGTTGAAGATGAGGCACTTGGGGAAGTTTAGCAGGATGGTGTTGAAGGGTTTACGGTTGGACTCAATCTTAAAGGTCTTTTCCAACCATAGATTCTGTGTTACTTCCTTGACATTGAAATTGACAGAGTACAGATCATCTTGATCAAAGAAGGTGAAGAAATAGTTCACAAACCTTCTACATCTGAGAGAACAATCAGGAGGTCAGTCTTCATTTCCACAGCCAGGCGTGCTGCCAAACTATCATTATCCTTCACGCTAATCACCTGGAATGCATATACAGATCAGCAACACAACACAGGGGAAGGAACTAAGAAGTACGTAGCCACAACATACACCAGCACTGCCAAGCCCTTATCGTCTGCTTTGCTCACACTCTGCTGAAAACTTCTAGGAGTTGATTATTGTATGAAAACAAATACCCTTTTGGAATGCTGTAAAACTGCATCAAAACAAGAGACAGCAGGAGCCATATTCTCTATCCTGGTGTCCAGTGACAGAACAAGAGGCAACAGGCACAGACTGACACACAGGAAATCCCATCTGAACACAGGAAAACAAAGAGAAAAAACTTCTTTACTGAAGGGGTTGCTGAGAGAAGATGTAGAGTCTCCATCCTTAGAGATATTTAAAACCCATCTGGAAAATATCATAAGCAATCTATTCTACCTGACCCTGCTTTGAGCATGAGGGTTGATAGATGATCCACATTAGTAATTTCTTCCCCTCCCACCCTGCTGCAGCTTGTGCATGTCCCAGATCATGGTGTTAGTAAACCAAATATTAATGCTGTACCATTAACAAACAGGATCCACCCCCTTGCAATACTTTACCCACATTTACCCCCTGCAGATCACTGTTTGGCTCTGGAGGTGGAACAACAGCATCATTAGTGTTAATTATAGGGACGATATTCATTCTTAGAAGTTCATGCAATGTTCCATTTAAGTTCCGACGCTTCTGTTCATCATGAAAATCCAGGTTGGTAACTAAAATCTGAAAGGAGGGAAAAAATAATATATACTTAGCCTGTCATCTTCCCTGATGAGAAGAAAATAGAAATATGTATTGAAGTACCATAACAGGTTATTCAAGCCCTCTGGCTCTCCAGAAAAACATAAGCTACAGTTAAAGGATAAAGAATGCAAGTGAGAAACATTCTTTCCACAACATTTTCAGATGTATATGCCGTACCTTCCAGTGGAACCTATAATGGCCTCTCAAGCAGACATATCACAGTAATCTATTGTAACTGCTAGCTGTACTGAAAACATTTAATTATATCAGTTGTACTATATCACAGTAAGAAGATCCTCTAAGTGACAATTTTACAGTATGCAATTAAATTCATTGAGAGTGTTTACAAAAGTTACAGAATTGCATCAACTCTAAAACCTTCACAGAATATTTAAGATGAGCATGGTGCATTTTCTTATAGTAGTTCAATACACAGAGTTGTAGCATTCAGCAAAGAGACACCCATGCTAGGTATACCACCAGCTACTAGTTAGTTTTGAAGAGCAGATAGATTGATGTGATTTTTAAATCCTCACTTTGGAACACAAGCCTTTTCTTTCTAGTTTTTGTAACAAGATCTTAATAGAGGGAAAAAAACAACAAGAACAGACCACTATAGATAAGCCATGCGCACACTCCAAAAACACAAGGCATTTTGCTCCACCTAGGATTAACTACTAATTATACCTCATCAATTGACCTCAATAGTAGGACAGCAATGGAAATACAAGACTACAGTAAAGACAGCAGCTTATGAAGCCTTGGAAAAAAAAAAAAAAAAAAACAGTAATTACATCGCTAACTGAAGTATCAGGCCAGTCTAAGAAAGAAGGAATCCCTTACTTGAGCTGCACAGATGCTATATTGCGTAAACATGGCTTCATACAGGGCCATGAGTCCACTCTGGCCAGCTGCTGCACAGGCTCTAGCCTCCAAGACTGGAATAGCCTACAAAATTAAGAGAACAGCTGTCAGGCAGTGACTTGAGCAGCTTCCGCCCAGCATTCAAGGGGAAAAAAAAAGGACTGCTTGCAGCCACTCACCATATCCTTTAGCTGGCTCTGGCCTGAATGAAGTGCTTGCCTCACACTCTGAGAAAGCAAGATCTCATGACGCAATCGCTGTTTTCCAAAAGCTACAGCTCCACTGGTGACAATCATCATTTCTCGGCCCTGATTCTGCAGCATTGACACCTGTAAGTACAGATCACAAGAAATAGGAGCAAGATCACTCCTAGTCCAGCAACTCTTTTTTATAGATACATTATGCTTAC